TGGCCTATAGTTTCCCGGGTCCTCCTTCCTCCCCTTTTTGAAGATGGGAACCACGTTGGCCCTCTTCCAGTCCTCCGGCACCTCTCCAGCGCACCACGAGTGCTCATAAAGCTGCGCCAGGGGACTCGCAATGACCCCGGCCAGTTCCTTTAGAACTCTAGGGTGGAGATCATCCAGACCGGCTGACTTAAAAACGTCCAGCCCCTCCAGCAGCTCCCTAACTAGATCCTCACTTACCCTGGGCTCAGGTGTGCCTCCCTCGGGGCCCGATGGGGGCCTAGCAGGGAGGTGGCAGTTCTGGTCCTTACTGAGGAAGACAGAGGCAAAGAAATCATTAAATATGTTGGCTTTGTCTGTTGTGACAACCAGATTCCCTGTCGCGTCCTGCAAGGGCCCCACATTACCTGGGGCCTTCTTTTTACTCCCTATGTATTTAAAAAAGGACTTCTTGTTGTCCTTAATCCGGGAAGCTAGTCCCAGTTCCATCTCTGCCTTGGCCTTCCTAACTACCCCCCTACACCCCCGAGCAACTGCCGAATAGTCCTCCTTGGTGATGACCCCTCCTTTCCATTGGGAGTAAGCCTCCTTTTTAGCAAGGAGACATTCCCGGATGTTTTTGGTGAGCCACGGAGACTTGTATGCTCTCCTGCCCCCTTTGATCCTCATCGGGACTACCTTCTTTTGGGCTTGGAGGATCGTCTCCTTAAGGAGCGACCACTCCCCTTGAACCCCCGGCTCCCCTCCCCTCTGAGACTTCAGCGCTTCCCCAACTATCCTCCTTAGCTTGTTGAAGTTCGCTCTCCTAAATCTAGGGCCACAGCCTGACTGCTTGCCTTTGCCACCTTGCGCTGAATGGTGAATTCCAGCAGGCAGTGGTCACTGTTGCCCAGGGGGTCAAGCACCCCCCCTCACCCAGGTCGTCGCCCGTGGCCAACACCAAGTCCAACAAGGCATCCCCCCTGGTGGGGCTGTGCACCTCCTGGGTTAGATGAAGGTCCTGGACTCTGTCTAAGAACCTACGGGAGCACTCAGACCTGGCTGACTGCTCCTCCCAGCAGATGTCTGGGAAGTTCAGGTCCCCCATGACTACCACATCCTTAGCCTTCGCTACCTCGGTGAGCTGACCCAAGAATTCCTGGTCAAGCTCCTCTCCTTGGTTGGGTGGTCTATACTAAACTCCCACCATTAGGTCCCTTTCCCCTCTTTTGCCTTGAACCCTAACCCAAAGCACTTCAGAGTGCTTCTCCCCTGACTCTTTACTAATTAGCGAGGATGGGTATTCCTCCTTGATATAGAGTGCCACTCCCCCCCCCCTTTCCTATCCTGTCCCTCCTGTACAGCCTATAGCCCTTGACATTCACCGCCCAATCATGCTTGGAGTTTTATTCTAACAGCTTTTAAATATTGCAGTGGGACAGTATTCAGGACCTTCTTGGGCACCCGGTGGAGAAGCCAGTGGTGCTTCACAGGTAATACATTTCTTTTTTTTTGATGCTCTGTACATTTGTCAGGACACAAGCTGGGGACACTTGCCACAAATAGAATACTAGCAATATGGTAGCAGTTACCCAGAGGGAGTGGGGATTTTACCATCTCAGTGCATGGGTACAAAACAATGGCTCTGGAGTAATTTATCTTGGATTTTATTCCATAGTAAAAGCTCTGCAGTAAGGAGTGACAAAAACCAGCTTTCCCAAGCTTGCTGACTATAATAGGCGCTATTATGGCTCCTGGCCACTAGGTGGTGGGGAGCTGGTTTGCTTTAAGCAAGAAGCTACCCCTTGATGAAATTTATGAGGAGAGTATGTGTAAAATACATTCCTTGCAGTATTTTTCCTACGTAGTAAACTTTGCCAAGGGGTAACTTAACCCTGCATTTGTGTGACTTACTATGTAATGGGGCAGTGCACTGGGTCCACTCCACTTTTATTATGTAGGAAAGTCAGTTTACTACATAAACAACTCACTACAATTTATCACATGCTTAGTACCAATCAGTGTTGTGTGTCCATACCTTTTTGCTGCTGAAGTATCCATTCTGCTGCCTCTATCTAGAAATTGTTGAAATTCTGCAAAATCCTGATCTCTGCAATGGAGAGAGCTATGAAAATGTAATTGATACAATATACGGCTGTGGTTTGCATAGTATCCAAGATTACTTAGATTCTAGTTGTATCTGAAGGCCATAATTAAAATCAGGACCATCTTGTATGAATCTCTCTGTAAGCATCCAGGAAGGCAGTAAAGAGCCTGAAAGATCTCATAAGCTAGCTTACTCATGATTGTAAATACATGAAAGCTTATTGCAAAAGGGCCCTTTCCCATCAGGTTCTGAAATATGTTTATTTTTACATATTCTGTTTCTGAAAGAACATGGAAATAGTCAGCTAACAATATGTTTCTAATGCAGCCAATATAGTGTAATTAATGTTCCAATGACAAGACAAAATAACTTAGATTTCAGGTTTATAATACTTATTTACTGTAAAATTTAGGAAGATTCTATTTAAACTAGGACAGCTGTTAACTTTAGTCACTTCCCCTGTTACAGTTAGTTTAGTTAAACTTCAGTCCTGTCTCTCTGGTATAAAATGAGTGATAGATATAGGGAATTAATAATGGCCTACTAACTTTTCATGTCCATTGTCCACTGGCTCAAATCTAATATGAATGGCATTACCATTGGATTGTAGTTTGATTCCCCATTTAGTCAGAGGCCAGGTCCTAGTGGACAAGTGTCTCCAACACAAATATATAATTGGTGCCCTGATTAGCCCTCTTTCCCAAAGGTTTGAATGGGCATGAAACCAAACCTCTTTTTCTTGCCAGAAGAGGTAGCTCCTCTGTAATAGGTTGAAGAACACAGGTCTAGCAGTGTGTTTTAAATATTCTTTTTCATGTTAGGCCATTTCATAGTATCATAGTAGCTAGGGTCAGGAGGGACCTGAACAGATCATCTAGCCTGACCCCCTGCCACAGGCAGGAATGAATGCTGGGTTCACAAGACCCCAGACAGGTGATCGTCCAACCTCCTCTTGAATATGCCCAAGGTAGGGGCAATGACCACTTCCCAGGGAAGTTGGTTCCAGATTTTGGCCACCCTAACTGTAAAATATTGCCTTCTGATCTCCACCCTAAACCTATTCTCCTTCAGCTTATGACCATTGTTCCTTGTGGTTCCTGTGGTTAAAACAGGAGTCTCCTCTCCACAGGGCTGTGATACTGCATTTGTTTGCAGAACAGTAGTTAAGCAAAGGTTGCTATCGACCTGGTAGATGGGGGAGGGAGAGAGGGGGAACTCTTCTAGAGAGTTCAGAAATACTTAACTATGACCCTGTCTTTACCAAGCTTACACTATTACTGTTAAGCATTGGATTTTAAAACTGCTGTGGTCCAAGTTTCCGTTATTTTACTCAGGTTTTATTTTAGAGAAATCACCAGAACTATAGCAAGGTACATTTGGGGTGAAGCATTACTAAATCAAACCGTTTATTTTCAATTTGGGCTGCTAAGCAGAGTGCAACCCCAGCTTGCTTTCATAAAGCACTTCTGCACTCATATGTGCAACTAAAGAAATTTGCCAGTTACAGACAAAGCTAAAATGTAATAAGAAGGTACATCTGGAAGAAGCTGTGGCCAGAAATCAGTCTTAAATATGCTGGAACTACAGCATGAAGCCATATGATTTACTTTTTCCAGAGTTTGTGTTATCTAAAATCTGTTGCAGTCTGTGAGCCTTGATTGTGACTTCAAAGGACTTTGGCCTGTTCCTGTTGGCTAGGGACAGAAGTTATACATAAATTGGTTTAAGTGTTCAGAAACTGGTTTAAACCTGTAACAGAACAGAAGTTCAGTACACATAAACCACTTTCAAAATGGCCAAAACTGGTGTAAGATAAACCTGGTTGGATGTAGGATCAGACTGAACTGATTTAGGTCAAACCAGTTTATGGAGCTTTTGTCCCAGATCCCTTACTGGTTCAAGTTAACTTGCAGTCCCCCAGCATCCCAGGATGCTTTGCAGCCCTGGGCTATGTTGTCTGGTCCAGTGCATCAGGAACTGCCTCACCCCTCTGCTCGCCCCTCAGCCTGCTTTCTACCTGGATGCATCAGCCCATGGGGTGGGGACAGAACAGACCCCCAGACCACCCTCGTCAGGGTCTACACAGCACATGGAGGGGAGGAAAGCCACTGTGGTGGAGGCTTTTCAACCCTTGACAGCACTCTCCCCTCCCCACTCCAAGTTGCTAATTGCTTCAACCGCTGCCACTGGAAGGAAAGAAGAGTCCTCCCAGCTGGGTGCCTGCATGTGCAGCAAAGCTTGGGGGCATGGGGAAGTCCTTGCCTTGGGAGGGCAGCCCCAGGGAGCTGAGGGGAATTCTTCCCCTCCCAAACCCCATAGCTGCTTTCCTTATCCCTTGTGAGTCCCAGGCCGCCTCAGGGAACAGATGGAAATTTTGCTTCTCCACTGCCAGTTTTACCTCAGCAGCTGTGAGTCTGAAGCAAAACTAGTTGCAGGTGGTGGAAGAATTTCCCTCTGCCCCCTGAGGCTGCCTAAGACTCACAGCAGCTAAGGCAAGCAGCTCTGGGGTTTGGGAAGGGAAACATTCTCCTCAGCTCCCTGGCGCTGCCCCAGGCTGGGGTGGGGGGGAAGTCCCCCAAAGGCGGGGGCTCCCTGATGCCCCCATGCTGGGTTAGACAGACAGACACATGGCTGAGAGAACTCCTCCCTCTCTCCTGTGGCAGTAGCTGAAGCAGACAGCTACTGGGAAGGGGGAGGGGGGAATTCCCCAAGGTGGGCCAGCACCTGGCCAGGGGGCTCCTTATCCCCCTGTTGGGGGGTGCCCTAGGGACCCAGTTGGAGACGCTTGGTTGGGTTGGCAATGGCCAGCAGGCTGGGAGACATGCTCTAGTGCCCCTAGCCTTCTGGCCTCCTCCTGCCTTTCCCAATTGAAAACTGAATGTCAGTTCCGTTGGTATCAGTTCAACCTATGCAGTTTAGAGAGAGCCGCCTAGAGTGAATCGATTCTGACTTGGCCTTTTTGACTGTGTGTATTTAGCCATAATAACAAGTGCTGTAGTAGGGGCTTTGTTTTGTGTTTTTTTTGTTTGTTTATTTTTAAATGGGCATTCTTTCTTGCACAGCTTAAATGTTAGTGTTCTTCTCTGCTTTTTTATGAAGCACATATATGAACATAAAGCAGCATTAAATTTTGAAATGCACTCTCATATTTAGAGCAGTGGTTCAAGCATGCATGCTTACTTTGATTAGATTGTAACATACCGTCAGCAGAACAGCGTGTTAATCCCACATTTTCAGTTTCAATTTTAGGAAAACTAGCTTTTCCCCCAAATATAAGTTGATTACTGTGAATTACCTTGGATTGCAGTTTCCCTTAAAATTCCACAGGAGAATTAAGTATTCAAGAAAAAACCCTTAAGATTAGAAGATGCACTAAAACTACTAAATTTCAAAATCATAATCATAATCATCCTCTGCACCAAAGTTTAATTTTGCTCATATCGTCTTCAGTGATTGCCGTCTTGGAAATACACATCAAGAAAAATACGTATAGCTATATGGAAACTTCTTGCAGATTTTAAACATAGACAGGCCCTTATTAAAAGGTCAGATTTAAATTATCATTTGGATTCAAATTTCACTGACATGGAGCCAGAACCTGGCATCCAAGCATTCTTGATTTTAGAGATTTAAAGCCCAAATTTTCCTTTTTTTTTTTTTTTGAGGAAGGAATGATGTAGGAAGGAAAAAGTGGGTGGGAATTTTGTTGTCTTTTCCTTTTCTTTGAAGATGCTCATTTGAACCCAAAATTTCACTATTGGTTTTGACCAACTTCCAGTGAAATACAGGCAGAGTTCCAGTGGAACACTCAATGGCTTCCTGCTGCTTCACCTTGCTAGGCTGTTCTGTGGCTGTCTTGCTCCCTGGCTTCACTAATGATCTGCCACATGGACTATGCTGGAGCTAAAAACTAGGGGTGCACCAATAGAGATTTTTGGGGCTGATACTGATAGCTGATATTTAATGAGGCATATTGGCTGATACCAATCTGATTTTTTCAATACAGCTGCCTCCAGCTGGTAAGTCCAGTGTGGTGGAAGGGGTGTGGGGTGAGCAAATCAGTGCCCCTGTGGTGAGGGATGGAGCAGGGGTTGGGGGAGGGGGGGGGCAGCTGCAGCCATGGCTGGGGGC